GGTAGAGTGACATATTTTATGGCTAAACTGGGAGAAGAGCCAATATACCCAGGACGTCTTCCTAGAACAGGAATTGTATTCAGAGAAACGGTTTAAATAAAGCATTTCTTTTAAATTATAGCTATATTTTGATCACAAAATGAAAACTGACAGAAAGGTATGACAGTAAAAATGTGAGTGGTACTGGGCCAGTAAGTGATGCTAGGCTTCTGTGACAGCTTTTATGCATATATAAAAATATACATATACAAATAGCATTGCTTATTTCTATCAGAATACCTTCTTGGGACTTAGGTGGAGGAAGCACCTATCACTCTTGATAATTAGGGAGTACTCTTTAGGTAGAAAATCAGAACTTTTGTTATAAAGACATAAGAAGAAAAGTATTGCAAGACCTCTCATGAGCTTGAACTCCGTGATTTTTAGGTTTTAGTTTTGGAGCTGCATCTTACCACACACCTATTTTTGTATATACAGAGCTATGTCGGTGATGTTCAAGCCAGTGGGAATTATTTACATCTCTGACCATTTTTACGTCAAGCCCAGATAGGTGAGTATATGCCATATGCCTCCAAAATCTATGCTATATACTTCCAAGGTACTTTTGAGAATGGGCTGAGCCCTCTGAATGTATTTCCCCTTATATATAATACATACCCCTTGTGAACAGATTTTAAGAAATGAAACTTCTGTTCAGTGGGGTTTAAAAGCATTGACCATGATTCAGGAGAACATCTGAGTTACTGGCTTGCCGCAGGCCAAAGGGGTAAGAAGCAATTTTAGGAAGAAGAATAAAAGTCAACTTTTGCTGTCTTTATTTTCTTCTGAAAGATGACACCAGACAGGGATCAGGTCAGTTTTTGACCTAAATTTAGAACATTATTGAACAAAAATATATTTCCCCATATTCCCATCCAAGTTTGCTTTTGGAGCTTTATCATTGTAGGACTAGATGTGGAAGCCCTTGCTATTTCATTTACGTAACGCACTAGAAATATATATAAAGACAAAATTAGTCTGACATAAATATGCCACAAAAACATTTATTCCAATAGCATATCCTAGGTATTCTTAAAATCTTAAAACTTCAGTGTATCTGCGTGTTGCGATTTCATAACACCTGCTGCTCTTGTGTTCAAGTTTCTCAAATTACTGATCACTTGAGAACGTCCTCTTACTTTTTTTCTTAGCCTTCATGTACAAAAACTTGAAAGTATCACCTAGTTGTGTACGAGAAGTTCAAACATGATGCTAAAGCCTGCTCTATCTCATGATTTTAAAGCTAATGGTTTTGGGATGGGAAGTGGCATTACTACTGTAATAGAGTAAATACCGCAAACCAGAAAATTGCTGGACGTGCCTGGGAGCATGGCTCACATCAGATGCAATAGTGAAGGAAGCCAACTTGAAGAAAGGGAAAACAGAATTCAAAGTAAATTATAAATCAATCGGAGAATAAATATATTACTTTCTCTTCATTCTGTCTTTGATGTGATATACTGCTAGGATGCTCTAAAAAAAATTAGTATCTTAGTTGTGTTTGATTAAAAATAAAGCTGTCAGCTCAGTCCTTTATGTTCTTCCACTTTTGTATGTGGAAAGCCTTTGACTTTGGAGCTTTTGGATTCAACATTTTGGATCTTCGTATTGGAGCATGTTTTGTCGCAGCTGTCGAAAGAATGACTTGCACTTTGGCTATTAATTTGTGGCTTTGTAGCTTTGGGGGTCTGTGATATTTTTGTGTGAGTGGAGCAGGATGACACAGAATGATTTGGGGAGGTTTGTTATTTAACAGAGTTTTTCCATATTTCATCTATTATTCAGTAATGGTGAACTCCTGATTGTGAAGCACTCTGACAAAGAACCTTTGCAAAAACAATTACATGACTGATCCTACCTCTCTTTTGATGGCTCATTCAGTAACTCATTTGTAGCTCATGCCAATGGTGCTCACGGTCTTTCTCCTGTTTCTCTGAGCCTTTGAAATGTTGGGGAATAGCATCACGTACACAATAAGCTGATACCCTTCCTCATGATCTTTGTAAAACCTGGTTTGTTCCTAGTCTTCGCTTTTAGACGTGTCTGTGTGAATGAGTGTGTTTTGGGGGAATCTTTTGGGGAGTGAAAGATGTGTAAATGCCAGTAAGCTTGATGTATTGCAGCATTTTATTGAAAAAAAATGCGCTGGGACAAGATTGATATATTTGGGCAGAGAAGTCTAAGGATGCTTACACTAATTTACATTGAAGTAGCTGTCTGTAGACGGAAGGTTTTTGGTCTTCACAAGTGGTATATTCACTTTAAGTCTTTTTTCTTTAAAGATGGAAAATCACTTTTAAGCACATTCCTTTCCCAGCTTCATCATGACTTTTATAGCTTAATTATAAGCTCCTGCAAATAGGGTCTTACTGTGCAAATGCTGACACAGCCTTACCTCTGGTGACCTGAATGGCCTCCTATGTTAATTACTGTAGATCAGTAATCATGTTATAAAAATATGTATCTGGCTTCTGTCCCAGAATCTGGACCGCACTGTTGTTTGTCTTTCTGCACAGTGTTACATGTACGTATCGCTCTGTACAAAGACCAAACTCTGAGTTGTGACTCAGAAAAATAACCGCCTTCTTTGTAAGAGCCAGCTTCGACTCCCCTTCTTGCCTTTGTGCTACCTCCTCGGCTCTGTGTCTCGCTTGGCAGATGCACAGATAGATCGACCTGGAAGATCTTTAGGAGACTCGAAGAACGTGCCTCGTGGCAGATGAAATTAAACCTGATTTAGTGAAACTATTTATTGATCTACTTTTAGACTGCAAAGGATATCTAAAACGTAGGGAATGGCCTGGTCCTTCAACAAGGAAATCACTGTTGACAGGGAGAGAGAGGTTTGTTAGCTTTTTTTTCCTAGTCAGGTCTCTGTTTTGATTCTTATGCACACAGGTTTGGATGGGCATGTGTTTGGGGGAGATGTGCTGGGAAGTGATGAATACGAGGACTTCTCGGGCTTGACTGTTGTTTTGGTAGGCAGCATCACGCTTGTGTCCTTAATGGTATTGTGGGGGCTTAACTACCCTTATGCTCACTTGGCTAGCCAAATTCAGGCTTTGACAATCGTTTGTGTAGCTTGTTGGGGTTTTGGTACAGCTGAAGGTAACCGTTGAGTTGCAGAGGGAGGTAGACCAGGAGAAGCTAAACGCGTAGCAGGCTTGAATGATAAAATTGGGTGAAGAAGGGGGTAAGGCTCCTGTTCAGTTAACTCCATCCAGAAGGGCACAGTGATCAGGTACATGTTTTAACTTGCAGGTAAAAGGGTGGTTTTAGTGGAGAATGGGTCAGATCTCGATTTCGAAGGCGGAGGGTCGGGGCCCGGCAGGACCGAGCAGAGGATGGCTGCTCTTGCGTGCTCCTCTGACGCTGACCAGATCAAGACGAATTTCGGTCCAAGACTGCACTGAAGCAACAGTCTCGGGGGGGACTGCGGCCGAAGCGGGGCGTCCAGCGGCGACTCCCCAGCCGCGTCTTGATGTCCGCA